CACGCGCGGATAACGCGACCCCGCGTGACCACCCGCGTCCTTTAACGCGCTGCGTTAACGAGAGATTCTTCGAAGGTTTCCACGTGTGACGCGTGAATTCGGCCAATATGAACCACGGCAACGTCCTAGATAACGCGCCACGTGTTCCAGCGCGACGGGTGATGCGTCATCGATTGTTAACGACAGAGTTTCGTGAGTCGAGTAAAGTTTTGTAATCTATTACTATATAAAAAAAAAAAGGTCGAGTTTATACAGGGAATGTTTTTTGAAAATTTTAAAACGACGAATTTGTTCGTGATAAAAATGATTCCGCAACAACGGAAACGTTATTTCCGTATGAATATTCTCTTGCGTGCTTCTGTACGTGTAATTTTCAAGATTACATTTATTGTGTTTGTAGGTCAACCGTTTTAAGGAAAACTTTAAAACATTCGTGGAAGGACGTAATTTTATTGCGAGAGACGAGATTCTAAAAGGGTAACGAAGATTCGCATTTATACCAGTAGATTTAGATTAGCCGACTGTAAAACGTTCGAAAGCCTTGTTTTTCGAAATCTTCTTCCAACTTTTTCGACCGTGATTTTCAAAATGAAATTTCGAAGAGTGTATTCCTACATACCCGCGTGTAAATGTACGTTTCGTTATTTTCCTCTTCTAATTTGCAGCGTTGACGTACGAATGCAAATTTGCAAAATTTCACTCGTAAATTAATATAGGGAAAATTTGTAATTTTCCGCGTATGTCGACTCCTCGCGGATTATAAATTAATTATCAGAAGTAAAAAAATATTTAAACAAAATATATACGATATAGCGCAGCTGAAAGGCGACGACATCTTTATCCCATTCGATCTTCTTCTGCTCGATAAATGACTATGGCTCCTCTCTTCGTGGCTTTATATCTCTCGCGCTCGTGAAAAGAACCAGTTTACGTATCACGCATATCGAGTTTCACGTAACGAAGTTGCGAAGGAAAAGTTGGGAATTCTTCGACATTTATATTGGTTGGCGTTCGATCGATGACTCGAAAGACGCGTGAAATCCGATTTCTAAACGAGACATTAACCATCGATGTCCCGAACAGAACGCCGCCATATTCTCCAAGCCACCCCGTTGTACAGAGTCACGATACCATGTATTTGATGGATGGTGATGTTTATAGGGGATCCCTGGCACGCGAAATAGAAGAGCAATCGATGAAAATTGACGAAGAGGAGGAAGAAGAAGGTCGTAAGAGCTTCTCTTCGCCTCCCTTTTCTCTGTATCCTCTATATCATCGCCCTCCCCTTCCTCCATATCCCCGAGATTGCACGAATAAAAGGATCTCTCGATTCCGCGCCACGCGCCATTATCTCGGAATTCTTTCATCGGGGCAAGGATCGTTCGATCGAGAAAATCGCGGAACACATCGAGTTCCTGCATCCACGGTAATTGTCGTTTTGATTAAATCGCTCTCCTCTCCGAGGAAATCGACCCTCCATTTCGAACAGTCGATAAGGCGGTTTCGATCCCCTCCAACAGACCTCGTCACCCTTCCTTTTCCTCTTTTTCTTACTCGAACGAGGATAACAAATTCGTGAAACGAGGCCAATGATCGGTAATTATCACCGGGAAGAAACTTATGCGCGATAGTTGGAAGGGTTGTAGCGCGAGTCCATTAGGGGTGTTTCCTTTTTTGTTTCCTTTTTCTCAGGCCATCCGGAGAGAAAACGAGCGTCATTAATCGCGGGCAGGGGGGAAGATTGGAAAGGGAGGGGCGCGGACAAGGAAAAGCACAAAGGGAAAAAATGGGACGAGATGACACGAAGATGGTGAAAAGCGCGACGCCACCATCGGGGTCACCGCAGACAAATAGGCTTGCTTTTAAAATGTCCTTCCGGCTCGACACGCGCGAACAGAGGGCGGAAATGCACATCTTCGAATCACGCTCCAATCTCTTCCACCTCCGTTCCCGTGGAGCAGCTTTTCCCTCTTCTCTTGGACGGATAAACGAATGCAGAGGTCGCGAATTATCCTAATTTTCCGTCTTGTGAACCGATCATACGGGGATGCTGCCCTGTGAAATATGGAAATAGGAAAAATGAAGCGAGATCAATCGCGATAAAATAAGAAGAGTGTCTTGTATAGGCGTAATATCATCGATATTAAAAATGTACAATTTTTGCGATATCGTTCATCGTGTCGGACGTCGCTTTAAAACAAACTTGATACGTCCAAAAATTTATTCGTCGCTGTACGTAATATTTCGACGCGACGATATTTAGTTATTTTTCATGGCGATAAAAGTGGAAAGAAAAAGGAGAAGTGGGACGCGCGACGATTGATCTCTTTCCCCCCATTCGCTAGATAGATGGTTATCCTCGATCATCTCGCCGATCTAGCAAGGAGAATTTACGAAACTATCATACTGAATCATCGCTTTTTCACAATTTGCGATTATAAAAGGATATTCGAGTGAAGTTTCGGACGAATAAATTTTCTAAATAAGAATATATCGATCAACGAGACGTACGTTTCGTTCTCTTCCTTCCTACGTTACAAAAGCTGGAAAATATTTGCGAACCGAAATTTGAACTATTTTGCATCGAGCTAATGTTCCTCTGGTCAACTGGTAGAGTTCCAAAAATGTAAAAATACTCGAGGTAATCGAAGTGGCTGTGTACCAAGTATGCGTAATTCGAGAAATGTGAAGATTCAAATGGCATAATTTCAGATCCAAATATGAGTAACTGCAAAGTAGCGGTGGAGACGAATCAACGGTCATGGATCATAATCACTACACTCCGAGGATATTGGACCCTGCGGGAGAATGGCGAAGAAACTGGAACAACGACTCGAAAAGTAACGAGGTCGTTGTACGTATCCGGGAAAAATATCAGGTCGCTGGGCCACGCCTCGCAAGGCCACGGCTGCTGTTGGATCATTCCCAGCAGGACGTCTGCATTGGTAAAATAATGGCTCCTCGAAATTTTCGATTACGCGTAACGAAAATCCACCGATTTATTCGTATCTAGCAGCGCGCGTCCGGAAAGACGTTGCTTTGTCGGACCAAAATAATGTTATACCACTTGCAGTAAAATTGACGGTCGTTGATTTATTGCCTGGCTCGTGGAACGTTGTACGTTAGAACTTCTGAACCCCGCTTACCGAGCTACCCGTATCAGGATGAATCGCAGATTTTGCGCAATGATTGTATTTTTATTGCTACGAGTTTTTTCCCGTTAAAATACGTAACGGAAACTCGAACGCGCGAATCTCGTAAAAGAGCTGTGTGTGAAAGTAATTTTAATTATACATCGGGCGGGCTTTGGTTCGAGAGAAAAGTAACGAAGCGTATTTTATTGATAGCTCTTTGTGCCGTGGATTGTTACGTAAAAAAAGAAAGGGAGGGGGGATAATGCGTGAAACTCTTATAATTAAAAAGTTGTGGAGTCGTGGCAACTGCAAAATCCTATCCATTTCGGGGTAACACTTGGATGTTTAAACACCGTATCGATCGAATATATCTGTGTACACTTTTTGAAGAGAGGGAATTGAAACGCGTGCATCGATTTCGGACTAAACCAGGCACATAAAGAGGTTATTCGAAAAGTCAAATGGTGTTTGTTACGAAGCTCGTCCAGTTTCACGGTTGACATTCGATCTTTCGACTTTTTCTTTAACGAATTCTTTCGAATTATTAATAAAATAAATTCTATTCTTGCGTACGCGATAAATGAATAAATTTATCTTAATCCATCATTTCCCGATGATTTAATTCAATTCTAAATTGTTTGAGTAACGAAAAATATGCGAACGTCGTGTTACGTTATCGAGAGATCCTGATAATCGAGTCAAACTTCTTCATTCACACTCGATAATTCTGTTCTAACAAACCTCTTTAATTATCGACAAACAAGAGGTCGTTCATCAAGTAACCGAAGCTTGAATTCCTCCGGCGTTTGAAACGTCGTTCAACCATCCAGCTCCGCACCACTTTACCGTTAAATATTAAACAGCAACGAGATGCAAACACAATGAAAGCATCTTCGTCTACCAAAGCAGTCGCTTGGAATTAGTCATTAGCCGAGACTAACGCAAAATCTGAAGGCAAACCTATTCGTCGTCGACTCATATACTCACTTTGCCATCGCCTGACATAACGAAATTTATGCCTGAAGCAAAATTAATTAAATGCTGTAAATTGGCTCGAGAAATATCATTTTAAAAAATACATTTTAACGTGTGAATATTATTGAATCTTATATTTTTATCGATGAAATTGTAACGAATAACATAAATTGAACGATAAGATAAATTTGTACAACGTCGAAAATATAAATTGCATCTTTCGTCTGCATAAATCTTAAAGCTTCTTGAGATTAATCATTTAACAGCAATCGTTCTTGACCAACTACGAGCTCGTGGTTAGAGCTTGCATCTCTTGGGAGAAAAAGTCACGATGAAAAATTAATGTACCAATAAGAATAATTGATAGAAATCAGTTGCGTCTTCGTGTGATTGTGAATTAAATCGATCCAGCGTTAAACTTTGATGGCTTTGAAATGAACGATAAGGCTTTTTATGGTTATCGAATGCCGCCCGAGAAAAGTTCACTCGAAGGATTCATACGTGACTGAATTACGTAATAAGAACGATTTGCGAAAAATAAATTAAATCTCTGAATTTACGTTAAATGTGGACCTAAATCCGTGTTTTTAGAAAAGATTATGAATTTTGGAGAAGGTATGATATATGATAATGAAACTTTTAATTATACGATAACGATTTAATCTATTCCAAATTATAATTTGATTATAATTGGGAATGATTAATTTATTTTATTCATAATTAGAAAAAGATTTAAAGTTTTGCGCATTTTTTTTTAAAAAAAAGCGTTTAAACGAGACGTAATATATAAATAATAAAATCAAATGTCGTAATTACGAGATTCGTGTAAAAGTATATGCACGCTCGAGATTTAATAAAACAGAGGATAATGAAAATTTCAAGCTTACATACCTGACTAAAGAAGTAATAATTAATGCGTTGTTGTAATCCTACCATTTGAAAACTGATGGTCCACTTCTCGTCAAAAAAAATTTCTGATTCGAACGAAAAAAGATTATTAAACGTAATTCAAAAGTACATCAATAAAAACTGTATAATATTCTCGCTTTATATTATAATAAATTTATTAAGCGAATTGATCGAATAACCTAGATAATTCGTATTTATAAATATATTGTGATATAAATTATAGTTCCATAAAGCGAGAATTTATAAAATTGAATATTGAATATAATCGCGATTTGTTCAACCACTTTGCACATGTTTCTTTTCTTTTCTTCTACTTTTCAACACACAACACTTTATTCAACTGACGTTTTATGAAAAATGTCGACCTTTTATAAACTTTCGAGTACCAAGAACTAACCAATCAGAACATATCCTTAAATTTCTCTCACGTGATTGGTGCGTTGCTGCTACCAAAATTTTTCGCATTTAAAGAAAAATCGTAGAAAATTTTCCTCGCTTATTTATTCGTAAAATAAATAATTTTTTCTTTATTATTCTTGAACTTTTTAAACGAATTGATGGAATAGCTTTTGAGATTCGTATATTACAAATTTATTAAAAACTTTAAACGAGAAGAACGTTCAAAAATATATCAAATTTATAAAATCTCCTTTTATGGAACAACAATGTATTTATAATATATTGTGATTACCTATATTATTTCAATTAGCTTTTTATAAATTTTAAAAGAGAATAAAGATAAAAGTATTTATTTTGCGAATAAATAAGCAAAAAATGTATCTTGTAATTTTTCTTTAAATGCGTAATATTTTTGTAGCAGCAATGCACCAATCACGTAAAAGATGTTTAAGAACGTGTCCTGATTGGTCGGCTCTTGGTACTCACAAGTTTATAAAAGATCGACATTTTTCGTGAAACGTCATTTGAAGAGAATATTGCGAGTTGAAAAATAGAAAATGTGTAAAGTGCTTAAATGAATCGCGAATATTTAAAAGTATGTCAATTTTATAAATT